AATTTCTGGGCCTATAGATACTCCTAATCACAAGTCGGTTCCCCTAATACATCTCCCTATCTTAATTTCCATCATTCCTGGGCCTATAGATTTTAATGTTTGCCCATTATTCTGTCTCTCTGATAACAATCTTTATTTCTTTGGACTGAATAATTGTATTTTTTGACCCCTGGCACTAACAATCCATTCTCCGTCCCTAGTGGGGGCGGTTGGTTTCCATTACACTGACCAGACAAAATCCAGATGTTGTGACCTGGGTCGTAGGTCACTCTCACCTTTGATTAATCACCTGCCCTTTTGTTTTTTACTTTACTTTTTTTGACCGATCACCTGCCCTTTTCTTATGATATCGACTACCTTTGACCAAACTGTAGCCCTTTTGTTTTTCAGAAATCCTAATGTCACCCTCACCTCTGATCACATGACTCATCTGTTTTTTTTATTTGTGAAATACAGATGGTGTTTTTTCTTAGTCTCCTTCGCCGTTATACATTATCAACTCTGCTCAACTAGTGGCTGCCCTGCAGGTAAATCTTCCATTGGACACCTGCACTGCTGACCAGTCCAGTCGCTGTAAACAAAGACCCTGTAAAAGATTAATTTCACAGTTAAGGTGTTTGTTCTTTCCTATTTTAATCTCCATTTTGTCACTATTGGATGTTTTCAGTCAATTGTCTCCCCTTCATCTATCCCCAGCACACCCAGCCCCACCTCACCTCCTTGGTACTTGACTAGTCCTCACAACACCTTCCTCACCCTCCACCTAACTCGTGCACTAGAACTTTCACCTTTGCACAACACAACAAAGACAATAAATAGGAAGATTAGCCTATCTCAAGTTTCATAATGGATGTCTATATTTGTTTTCAAATTCTTCTTGTTCAAAAATAAAAGCATTAACATTTTGAATTTCTTTGAATAGTGTTTGATCTTTTAATTCTGTATTTTTGTGTGTGTTTTGCATTTGATGTTGCATAAAAAGTTAATCTTGTATGAATATGTAAATCTATTATGTAGGGGAAAAGAGACTTTAATCAAATGTACCATGCATTGATCTGGATAAGTCCATTAGGACTACAGTGGTGAAAGGCTTTAATCACATCTAACTGCAGATATAGACTTTGACTTTCCTTCATGGCCAATGGAGATATAAAAAAAACGCTGACATATGTTTTGGTATGACATAATGTGATCTTATCTTTAACTCATTCACCCTTGAACTTTCATAATGAACTATTCCAACCTTTGAAATGGAAGAGTTCAAATGTGTCTTCAGGGGTGAATGAGTTAAGAGAAATTAACACTCACCTTATCTTCCTGGTCACATCAGGTACATATCTAAATGGTCAATGTAGGTATAAAACCACCTTAACATTTACTGCATGCATGGTCATTAAAAATGACTACTATGAGTTTAAAACAACCTTTAAGTTAGCTGCTCTACTCTATAGCAGGACTGGCTACCAGCCCCTAACTTTTTATAAAGAATTTCCCTTCTGCATTTTTACTACTTGCTTATCTCCCCCTAGTCTGAGAACTTCTAGAATCTGACACCGAAGTTGCCAAAATTATTAGAGTTAATGAATTTCTGAATAATTCAATATTCTAGATAGCGATTGATTGGGGGAGGGGGCAGTCTGCTGTATCACATGTTACATCAAAGGAGCCACCACATGTTGAGTAGTAATGGATTAAAAGAACTGTAATCATTGACCTCCATCTATGATTTTGACCTATGACCTCTGACACAAACTGTACATGATACACAGTTTGTTCAATTCTTTTGAGTTGTTACATTATTATGTAATAGCCTACTGTCAATGTGATCTACTCAGAAGTGTGTGTTACAGGAGGCAGAGGTCATCCTACAAGGCTATAGCCTACTGTCAATGTGATCTACTCAGAGGTGTGTGTTACAGGAGTCAGAGGACATCCTCCAAGTCTGCGATAGCCTACTGTCAATGTGATTTACTCAGAAGTGTGTTTTACAGGAGGCAGAGGACATCCTCCAAGGCTATAGCCTACTGTCAATGTAATCTACTCAGAAGTGTGTGTTACAGGAGGCAGAGGACATCCTCCAAGGCTGCTATAGCCTACTGTCAATGTGATCTACGCAGAAGGGTGTTTTACAGGAGGCAGAGGACATCCTCCAAGGCTATAGCCTACTGTCAATGTAATCTACTCATAAGTGTGTGTTACAGGAGGCAGAGGACATCCTCCAAGTCTGCGATAGCCTACTGTCAATGTGATCTACTCAGAAGTGTGTTTTTCAGGAGGCAGAGGACATCCTCCAAGGCTGCTACAGCCTACTGTCAATGTGATCTACTCAGAAGTGTGTTTTTCAGGAGGCAGAGGACATCCTCCAAGGCTGCTACAGCCTACTGTCAATGTGATCTACTCAGAAGTGTGTTTTTCAGGAGGCAGAGGACATCCTCCAAGGCTGCTACAGCCTACTGTCAATGTGATCTACTCAGAAGTGTGTTTTTCAGGAGGCAGAGGACATCCTCCAAGGCTGCTACAGCCTACTGTCAATGTGATTTACTCAGAAGTGTGTTTTACAGGACGCAGACGACATCCTCCAAGGTTGCTATAGCCTACTGTCAATGTGATCTACTCAGGAGTGTGTTTTAAAGGAGGCAGAGGTCATACTCCAAGGCTGCTATAGCCTACTGTCAATGTGATCTACGCAGAAGGGTGTTTTACAGGAGGCAGAGGACATCCTCCAAGGCTGCAATAGCCTACTGTCAATGTGATCTACTCAGAAGTGCGTTTTACAGGAGGCAGACGACCTACTACATTGAAACTGATTTACAGGACTTTTCTGATAATAAACTGAAAGCCTGAACTATCTGAAAAATACTAACACTCTTTGGTCTATCTCTATGTTCTATCTCTATGGTCTATCTCTATGTTCTCGGTAGAGGTCTAATCTCTATGGTCTATCTCTATGTTCTATCTCTATGGTCTATCTCTATGTTCTATCTCTATGGTCTATCTCTATGTTCTATCTCTTTGTTCTATCTCTATGGTCTATCTCTATGGTANTATAGCCTACTGTCAATGTGATCTACTCAAAAGTGTGTTTTACAGGAGGCAGAGGACATCCTCCAAGGCTGCTATAGCCTACTGTCAATGTGATCTACTCAGGAGTGTGTTTTAAAGGAGGCAGAGGACATACTCCAAGGCTGCTATAGCCTACTGTCAATGTGATCTACTCAGAAGTGCGTTTTACAGGAGGCAGACGACCTACTACATTGAAACTTATTTACAGGACTTTTCTGATAATAAACTGAAAGCCTGAACTATCTGAAAAATACTAACACTCTTTGGTCTATCTCTATGTTCTATCTCTATGGTCTATCTCTATGGTCTATCTCTTTGGTCTATCTCTATGGTCTATCTCTATGTTCTATCTCTTTGGTCTATCTCCATGTTCAATCTCTTTGGTCTATCTCTATGTTCTATCTCTATGGTCTATCTCTATGGTGGTCAAGTGATACGTAACATACTTGCTTGCACCAAAAATCAAATGCAAACCTCTGCATAGAAGGCTGATGGCCTCACTGTCGTAACAACATATTTTTAATTATTTTTAATTATTTTTTGAAAAATGCACTTTCAACATTTATAACAGACACAGAATGGTATTGACAAAAAGGTCTGTTACCTATTTACATATAATGATGGGCAATTTAACATAAATAATAAGTATACACTTATTCAAAAATAACATGACAGCTTCACAGCCCCACCAAGCACAGCTAACGTACATTACGAGGACCTCCTCAGCTTTACTGACTGATCGCTTATCTCATAACTCATACATTAAGTGCACATTCTAGTAACATTCACTTTTCAAAGGCAATCACCACCATGCATCACAGATCATGATATATCACAGAAATGGCCACGTTACCTCCCACCTGCATGTTTACAATATTTCTGTAAACAGAAAATCCCCCCCCTGTCAATTTTGCACCTCCAATGAACCTACATGTAAAATGTCAGAATGCTGTAACTGGCAAGCATTTATATCACTTATCCTTAAAACTTGAGCCTGGCCGACACCCAGCCTCACCCTCACGGCCACGGCCACGGCCACGGCCAAGTCAACCCTCACGGCCATGGCCATGACCACACTCACCCTCACAGCCATGACCATGCCACCATCACCCTCATGCCCACCCTCACAGCCATGACCACGCCCACCCTCACAGCCATGACCACGCCACCATCACTCTCATGCCCACCCTCACAGCCATGACCACGCCACCATCACCCTCATGCCCACCCTCACAGCCATGACCACGCCCACCCTCACAGCCATGACCACGCCCACCATCACCCTCATGCCCACCCTCACAGCCATGACCACGCCACCATCACCCTCATGCCCACCCTCACAGCCATGACCACGCCCACCCTCACAGCCATGACCACGCCCACCATCACCCTCATGCCCACCCTCACAGCCATGACCACGCCACCATCACCCTCATGCCCACCCTCACAGCCATGACCACGCCCACCCTCACAGCCATGACCACGCCCACCATCACCCTCATGCCCACCCTCACAGCCATGACCACGCCACCATCACCCTCATCATGCCAACCCTCACGGCCATGGCCATGGCCACGCCAACCCTCACGGCCATGGCCATGACAACGCCCACCCTCATGCCCACAACCACATCAGAGCTATTGCATAAGCTCTTTGTTCTTTAAACTGGCAAGCTAAACAATTAACACTGAGTGATTATCTTTGTTTGAATAAATGAAAGTGGTGTCAACTCCTTTTACCAATGAGACATGAACTTATTGGTGGACTAATTATACCAGTTTGTCCAGGTTTTACCAAAAGTGTGTCCATTATCTACATGTAAAGATTGTTTAACATACTTCACAACACTGCAGAAATAACACAACAGCAAAGAGAATGTACCATACTTATTCCCCTTTGTTACACTCTTTTGTGTTTGTCTTTGTGTGTGAGCCTGTAAAAACTAACCACTTTACATAAAGATGGGATAGCGGTCTGTACACTTGTCACTCGCTGTGTACAAAGTACGCAACATTAGCATGTGAATCTAGTGAGGACCATTTTACGGTGTAAATACATAGAGTAGATGTGATGTTTAGGCGTGTAAATATACTTGTGTGTAAATGTATTCTCTCCTGACATGCTGTACAAACTTTAACTGGCAATGACATAACATGTCTGTAGGTTGATAATTGTGCAGTCAATCTTATAGACACATTATCCCTTATAATGTGTTCCATTCAATAGATGCCAGCCAGAAGTACAAATTACTTTTAGCTACATGATGACTGTGTGAGTAGATGTATTCCATTTTCAAAACCATTTAAAGTCCCTGTAGCTCTCTCTATAGAAAAGCTTTAATAGGTAAAACCTGTTGAACTGGTCATTTAGTGTCACCAATTCTTCTGGCAAAAACAAGCCGCACCTCATGGCTGGTTTAACAAGTTTTATGTCAGGTACATTTGGTCTCAATATTAAATTTCATTTCCAAAAAATTGATTTCAAAAATGTTAATTAGCATCTCTGTATAGTAATTGTATTTTGCATTGTTTATCTGATATATATATATACATGTATTACATCAACAAGTTGTCTACAGAGCTTGCATTGTTTATCTGATATATATACATGTATTACATCAACAAGATGTCTACGGAGCTTGCATTGTTTATCCGATACTGCATTGAACTATAAATGAGGAAGACACATATTTAAAGCACAATAGTGGGGAATATTTCCAGCTTTGTGGACAAAAAAGAGCAAGGTTTTGTCATGACCATTTAGAAAGGATTTATACTGGATCTGAAAAGTGATAATGACATTCTTCAATTGTTGAGACAATTTAATGTTGATGGTATTCTTCCTCCAGGTAACGATAGACTGTATAATATATAGCTGATAATAGTTATTAATTCTTCATTTCAACCAAATAGACTGAATAATCTTCTCTTTTATCTTGATGCTTTGATCACTGGTTACTTTCTTACATTTAATCACCTGATCAAACCTAGATCAAAGATAGGTATCACTTAATGTGTCCCCAAACAATTTTATCATCAGTATAATGTTGATATTTTATGACAGTGATTTAAAGCCAAGATGTTTAAATTCTTTTTTTATTAGATCACAACAAAACAGAATAAAATAAATGCAGAGTAGTGAAATAAACGAGGTAACACCTGCAACCAAAGTCACATGACCTTAATTAAAACAGAATACCAGCTACCACAGTAGAATAGGCAAAGATTCAGCTGATACTTTTTTTTTCAATAGATAGATAAAAATAGAATGATTTAAGATGTATTATGTACAAAGTTATTCTAATGGTTGAGAGATAAATGGCCCAGCCACAGGGCAAACGCTTAGGTAGATATTCTGAAATACTGATACCCTTAAATTCTTAAATGTCCTCAGGGAAAATTATGAAATTGTTGTAGACAATATTTTTATTTCTATTTTTATTTTATTTACCAGCACCTCTATTGTTTGAAACACTGCCAGTTTTGGGCCCCTTGCCTCAGCCTGCCTATATAACAGTTATAAATGTTAATATCTGTAAATGTTAGAGGAACATGGCGTAGATATCCTCACATGTTGATCTCATGAAGAAAGTCAGGATAACATGGTGTAGAGAAAGTCAGGATAACATGGCGTAGATATCCTCACATGTTGGTCTCATGAAGAAAGTCAGGATAACATGGCGTAGATATCCTCACATGGTGATTTCATGAAGAAATTCAGGATAACATGGTGTATATATCCTCAAATGTTGATCTCATGAAGAAATTCAGGATAACATGGTGTATATATCCTCAAATGTTGATCTCATGAACCTCTATTGTTTGAAACACTGCCAGTTTTGGGCCCCTTGCCTCAGCCTGCCTATATAACAGTTATAAATGTGAATATCTGTAAATGTTAGAGGAACATGGCGTAGATATCCTCACATGGTGATTTCATGAAGAAATTCAGGATAACATGGTGTATATATCCTCAAATGTTGATCTCATGAAGAAATTCAGGATAACATGGTGTATATATCCTCAAATGTTGATCTCATGAACCTCTATTGTTTGAAACACTGCCAGTTTTGGGCCCCTTGCCTCAGCCTCCCTATATAACAGTTATAAATGTTAATATCTGTAAATGTTAGAGGAACATGGCGTAGATATCCTCAAATGTTGATATCATGAAGAAAGTCAGGATAACATGGCGTAGATATCCTCATATATTGATCTCATGAAGAATGTCAGGATAACATGGCGTAGATATCCTCATATATTGATCTCATGAAGAATGTCAGGATAACATGGCGTAGATATCCTCAAATATTGATCTCATGAAGTAAGTCAGGATAACATGGTGTAGAAATCCTCAAATTTTGATCTCATGAAGAAAGTCAGGAGAACATGGCGTAGATATCCTCAAATGTTGATATCATGAAGAAAGTCAGGATAACATGGCATAGATATCCTCAAATGGTGATCTCATGAAGAAAGTCAGGAGAACATGGCGTAGATATCCTCAAATGTTGATATCATGAAGAAAGTCAGGATAACATGGTATAGATATCCTCAAATGGTGATCTCATGAAGAAAGTCAGAATAACATGGCGTAGATATCCTCAAATGGTGATCTCATGAATAACATTTTAGGAACATGGTGTAGATATCCTCAAATGTTGATCTCATGAAGAAATTCAGGATAACATGGTGTATATATCCTCAAATGTTGATCTCATGAACCTCTATTGTTTGAAACACTGCCAGTTTTGGGCCCCTTGCCTCAGCCTGCCTATATAACAGTTATAAATGTGAATATCTGTAAATGTTAGAGGAACATGGCGTAGATATCCTCACATGTTGGTCTCATGAAGAAAGTCAGGATAACATGGTGTACATATCCTCAAATGTTGATCTCATGAACCTCTATTGTTTGAAACACTGCCAGTTTTGGGCCCCTTGCCTCAGCCTCCCTATATAACAGTTATAAATGTTAATATCTGTAAATGTTAGAGGAACATGGCGTAGATATCCTCAAATGTTGATATCATGAAGAAAGTCAGGATAACATGGTATAGATATCCTCAAATGGTGATCTCATGAAGAAAGTCAGGAGAACATGCTGTAGTTATCCTCAAATATTGATCTCACAAATAACATTTTAGTAACATGGCCTAGATATCCTCAAATGTTGATCTCCTCAGGGTGAAACACAACAAGCCTGCAGAAGATATTCTTAGAATTGATATCCTTAAGATCAAGCTCTGGGACACCTGTGTTTCTGGTAGATAAAACTCATTGAGACTGTGGTATCCTAAAATAAAGATATCAAGCTTTTATGCCTAAATTGAATAAAAATAAAAATTCGATTTAAATTTACAGAAACAGTTTCATATCAAAAGGTACAAAAATATGTTCAAATAGAATATTTAACTGAAATCTTTTAAGTGTAATATATATTAAGAAGAAAACCAGTGCCAAGTTGAAGCTTGTATAGCCAAGTAGAGGCTTGTATAGCCAAGTAGCGGCTTGTATAGCCAAATATAGCCACGTAGTGGCTTGTATAGCCAAATATAGCCAAGTAGAAGCTTGTATAGCCAAATATAGCCACGTAGCGGCTTGTATAGCCAAATGTAACCACGTAGCGGCTTGTATAGCCAAATATAGCCACGTAGCGGCTTGTATAGCCAAGTAGAAGCTTGTATAGCCAAGTAGAGGCTTGTATAGCCAAGTAGAGGCTTGTATCGCAAAATATAGCCATGTAGCGGCTTGAATTATTTAAAATGCTCAGACTATGTACACTTTTACGTACAAGTGAATTTTAGAGCAACAACTGTGCACAGAACATAACTCTAAACTTTCATATATTAGTGAATTTTTAGAACAATTATTGAACAGAACATAACTCTAAACTTTTATGTACCTGTGAATTTTTAGAACAATTATTGTGCACAAAAACATATCTCTAAACTTTAATATATATTAGGGAACTTCTAGAACAATTATTGTACACAAAACATAACTTAACTTATATGTAGAGGTGAATTACAGAACATTTACCTTATTCAGAACAAACCTGCACACTTTTCTACAAGTGACATTCTAGAGTTTTTACCACACTGCAGACTTGTATGTATACAAGACTGCTTTGTCCTTCAATGCAAATGGACTGCTCTAATTTCATATGCATTATTCATATACTCGGAGAATGTTAAAATTTTCAGTTTCAAATGTCATACAGTTAAACATTAAACCTGAGGTGGCATATCAGACGAGTCCTATTGTGTCTGAACTAAACCCGACTCAGGCCCACGCTGACCTGGTATTTACAAATTCAGGTTTGTAGGACGTTGGTAATTAAAGCTGGGAAAAAAGATGGATGCTTGTGGATGCTAATTTACATAATTTAAAACAGCATTGCAAATTAAGTGCTCCAAATAAGGCCTGGTCCATATGATATCTCGGTTATCTTTATACAAAAGGAAAATAATGCCAAGTAACTAAGTTTGGTGCTTCATATGAAAAATAATAACTTGATATTGCAAGAATGTATAAACCTGTCCTTTGTTGGCAGGTGTTCTTTGTTTAAGCCTGTCCTTTGTCAGCAGGATTCTGTTATAGACAGGTATAATACTAGAGGTTTCATGAATATGTTCTTTACCAGCAAGTTTTTATTACAGACAGGTAACATATACTAGAGGTTCCATAAACCTGTCCTTTATCAGCAGGATGCTGTTATAGACAGGTAACATATACTAGAGGTTCCATAAACCTGTCCTTTATCAGGAGGTTTCTTTTATAGACAGGTGTAATACTAGAGTTTTCATGAATTTGTTCTTTGTCAGGAGGTTTCTGTTATAGACAGGTTAAGTTATACATGGTAAGATATAAATATGTATACTGTACAGTATAACTCAACATATGATCTATACAGCATCTACATAGTCTATTATATCTATATTGTCAGAGCTATACTATAATCTAAACAGCATCTACATAGTCTATTATATCTATATTGTCCGAGCTATACTATAATCTATACAGCATCTACATAGTTTATTATATCTATATTGTCAGACTTATACTATAATCTATAAAGCATCTACATAGTCTATTATATCTATATTGTCAGAGCTATACTCTACAGAATTACACCATCAGGTGCTCCTTGTCAGACTCATATTGTAGAGCACCTGGAAGATTTGATAAAGATCTTGTGAAACACTTCTCTTGGATACATCACAGCCTGAAAAGGACTTCAATTTAAACCTGTCAATTTGTCACCCAGAA